GTTGAACCCACACCTGTCCTGCCCTGGTCCTGGTCCGATCCCGCCTCTCATGCTTCCTATAGAGTGGTCGTAGAAGGACGGGTCCTATGTACTTACGATGCCTGCAGGCGGGCCCCGGTTAAAATCTTACGATGCCTGCGGGATGGGCTTCATCCGGGATAGTGCCTGGTCTGTCATTCCCACTGGAGAGGTCACTTAGGGGTACTCATCAAGGGGATTCCTCCAGGTAGAAGACTCATGTGGGAAGGGTTGGGTGGTTGTCGTACCGTTCATAGAAGTGTGGTTCGCCACCAGAGTCTGTGAGGTTGATGCAGGTTGGAAATAGCCCAATCTGCTCTGGGTCGTCCCTGAGTAATCAGGGTGTTCCTCTATGGTAGCAGTCAGGGGTCTGTAGTCAGATCCTCGGCACATTGCGAGTTTGGGAGCCTTGGTCTAGTTAGGCTAGGTCTAGGTAACCAGCTGTAGGGGCTCGACTTACGACAGTTAAAGGTAACAAAGTTAAAAGTGTAGTCTCCATGGTAAGGCGTCCCCGAAGATGTGGAACCTCCAAGTGTCCCCCTCACTGGTTGAACATGCAAATCAGACACTTCCCGAGGCATAGAGCCCAGCCGATACTACCACATGGACCTTATAAGAAAAGAAAAAAAATAAATAAAAAAGAAATGCACGCCCAGCGCCGTAGATAAATTGAATCGGTGGCGGGCTGCCTCCGAAAAGGGCCTGCGGCCGATAGCTGGATGTACTGGTGGTTTAAGGGGCCGTGCTGATTTAAACCACCAGTACGTTGCCCAACCATTTTTCTCAATGCGGCCATGCTTGTGCTGCAAGTTTTCGGGGGAGGCTCGAGGTCTCCACCATTACCACTGGTCGATTCTCCCTAGCGAACAGACATAGGCAAGGCTCATTACGAGCAGAAAGCAACCACATGCATCCATACAGACACTTGGTCACATAACAACCAGCATATTCAACAACCAACAGTAGCCATATATAATGAACCGAGCTGTGCTAGGTTGGTGCTCAGAGGGGCTCATGAGTTAGACCTTGGTTAGCCGACCATTAGACACTGCCTATGAGTGCCCTCACTGCTCACGAGACTAGTTGAGAACTTCGCGTCTAACTCATGAGGTACCCGTATAACGAGGCTTGTACGCTACCTTCTTCCCCCGAATATAACGTACGGTCATTATAGCTGTATCTAGACTGAAAGGTGGCTCACATACAGCTATAACGACCGTACGTTGTGTTCGGGGGAAGAAGGTAGTGCCTCAACTGGGGCTGAATGAGTGCCTCAACTGGGGCTGAATGGTGGAGCTCATTCAGCGTCAGTGCCCTCGTCCGCTGTCTGGTCAGGTTGCTCCAGGAGAGAGTGATGTTCCTCGCATGAGGTAAGACAGGAATGAGTGCGGGTGCACCAGGAGATATATCAAGAGGGGTGGTAGGATAGGTGTCTCGTGAGTGTGTAAAAAAAAAAAAAAAAAAAAAAAACTTCCCGGGGTTGGCCTGCCAGAGCTAAATGGCTCGCTGAACCAGCCAAAAGAAGCCCCACGTGGCATGTGGGCTTGTTCTTTTTTTCTACCGCCCCTGGTGTTTCCAGGATCTGCGAGGGAAGGGTCAAAAGCACTGATGGTTTAAACCATCAGTACACGGCCCCAGCCTTGCAGGATTTTTTTTTTTTTTTTCCGAAGACCCCACCCACCCTTTTTTTTTTAAACAAAAAGACATGCACAATTCAGAAAGGGATCCAAACACTGCCAATCAATCCCCTGAACCCCACTCCGGCAAGACTTACTGCAGCAGAGCCACCATCTCCCTGCTGCTATACCCTATTCCTATCCTACCAGCTAGCCCCCTCACTAGTAGGACGCATGATATCCCACCATCTCTTTCTCCCACTCGCCTGGATCCCTTTTTTGTAAACGTCTAAGAACACTTGCGGTAATTCAGGGGGCATGGGAATAGACCGCAGAGGTCCTACAAATGCTCCAAAACCCTCGAAATCCCTAACAGACCCTTCCAAAGTTCTCCAACACTGTCTTACTTCCTGCTGAGCTCTTCCAGGCCTCACACCCCCACATCCTGCTGGGTTACAGGGCAACACAACTCACCCCAGCTCCGACCAGCATCATCCCAGCAGCAACCCTTGGTTGTCCCGTGGAATGCCCACCCCCAAAGCATCCCCAGATCTCTCTACCAGGCCTCATGCTCCTGCATCAGCAGGTTACAGGGCAACACCCCAGCACCGGCCAGCGTCGTTCTGGCATCGAACAGCTGCAGACTACTGAGTATAACAGCATCAAAGCCACCTAAAACGAGTTGCTAGGAGTCCCCAGAACCCTAAAACATTCTTAAGACCAAACAGCCAACTTACTTGTGAAGAAAACAAAAACCAACTAAGATTATCCGAGGCTTTCAGACAAAAAACCACCTGCCCCGGTGCATTTCAGCAGCCCAACCTCATCCGCCTCCGCCCGAAACCCCAATACTCGATCTCTACCAGGCCTCATACCCCCAACTGCTAGGTTACAGGGTTGCGCGATCCAACCCAGAACCCCCCCCC